AAAAAATATATTAATATATAAAAATAATATAAAAAAAAATATATTAAATAAACTTGAAACTATCAATATGAGATACTTTATTTCAATTCGTTCCACTCGTATTCGGTATATCTGAAATATCTTATAGATGATTTGATATATCAGAGATATCTCAAGAAACAATGTTCCTTCTCTGCGATAGGAAGAGGAAGAGTTTTCTGTTCCGGTGGTCCGATTACGCAATTATTCGTCGTTTTGCGATTCAGTTGTTAGTTTTTGAACACGAGGGTAAGTCATTTAAAATTGTTCTTACCGCGTTGCTCGTAAATACGAGAAGATACGAAAGGCGTCCAGATAGCGGAAAAAATGAAATAAACGAGCCCCGAGTGACCTGCAACAGAGAGTTTTCCAAGAAATATATCGAAGATTAAGACACACTGACATTTTTTAGTCTCTACTCTAACATTTTTATTTATCTCGTAGTCCACAGGCGTTTTTCAACGTTGCTCTACATTTTGGAACATATTTTTTCAAGATTGGAATAAAACGGTAAATAAAAGTACAGGAATAATATAATAATACACGTAAATAATAAAATTGTACTCTTCGCTTCTCTTATAATTTCCCTTTCCTTAACGGAATTTTGAACTGTTTAATTGGCAGGATATCTAATATGGAGTTTGATTAAGAAATGTAGAATTGAGATATATTTGATTTGACAAAAGAAAATTTACGAAAAAACCATAAAGATGCTATTGCAAATATCTGAAAGGTATTCGTGCAGTTATAGAGTCCCCAATTGTTTCTGAATGAGTTGGGGAATGTCCGCTTGAAGATAACGATATCGAGTCACTCACAAAGATGGATGGATCTCTGACAAATCTCTCTAAAAGAAATTTAACAATGGACCTCAAGAATCAGCTTTAAGAAAGCTCGTCAGAGATTAAGTGACACTATTGATAGTCGTTTCCTTTGTTCTTAGAACAATGTAGAAAGGAGACAGATAAAATTTTTGTAGAAATTTGAAGGAAAAAGATTTCCGGAAAGTCTTTGCAGTACTGATCCGTTAAAAAAAATCGCTTCTCATAGACTTTTATCGCGCGTGTTTATTAACATAGAGTGATGAAAGTGGCGAATATTAGAATTTATTAGGTTGCAATTTATGTGTCAGACAAAATTGAGATGAGTCACGTAAATCTATTTACATAATATATGCATAATAGAGAGAATTGAATGTTATATCAAATACAGTGTAATAGATAGATAGACACAATTTTTTGACGTTCTCTTAATAAATATTAATGATCGCTCTGTTGCTCTCTAGAAAGTCATTGATCGCAGCTGCGCAAATACCAATGAATGCCAGTCTGGATGCTGTGCGAGGGAGAGGAGAGATAGGTAAATGAAATGGTGAGATAAGTGAAATATAGTGCAATAAATTTATTTATTTATCTATCTCGGACAGAGCTAAGGATAGATACGTGTTATTCTCATAATTATATTGAGATGTACATACAATACTTCCGCGTACAAAAATTATATATTGAGATATAAAATACAAAAAACTTCAAGTAAATGTTTTTTTTAAATAAAATTTCAAGCTCGGTAGCAATGTTAAAATTCAATATTGGAAATTTAAAAGTTATTGGGAAAAGTCAATTCCAAATTAGACTATTCTTGAACGATGTTGTAGAAAAGATATCTAATCTTTACAAAATGATATAGCTAAACTATGTGTGTTAGAGCATGTAAGTCGTGAAAAATGTTTTGTCTATCTTCTCGGATAAAATGTAGATTTTAAGCTTATGTATAGATACAATGGAACTCGAAAGCAAAAGTAATTCGCCCAACGTGGGGCTCGAACCCACGACCCTGAGATTAAGAGTCTCATGCTCTACCGACTGAGCTAGCCGGGCTTGTTATGCCTGCTTATGAAAGCAAGTTTATTAACAAAAAAAAAAAATTTATTTACGTTATAATATAAATATTATATATATAATAAAAAATATTTAAAATAAATTTAAGATAAATAGTCAAATCTTATTTACATCAAAATCTAGAGACATTATATTTTAAGTTTGTGTGAAAGAGCCTGGATGACTTGGTGATAAGAGCAACATAAAAATAAGTTCCCTTTATCTCGAGAATAAAACATAGTTGAAATATTATGAATTGATTTATATAGGGCGTACTAGAATTATCGATTCGTTAAGATCCAAAAAATCGTGTTAATAATGCTACAAATATCGTAGATCATATTTGCAATAGTAATTTTTTGTATTATTTCATAGATTTAATTTATCAACTTTACGTATATAATACACTTTAGCATGAATAATACAATTAAATATAAATAAGATATATAAATATAAATTAAATAAATAGATAAATAGATTAAATAAGAGATAATCATTATGACGCAATTTCTGATGGGACACAAATGTATCGCTTCTAATAATTCATTTATGTCACAAATGAATACTTTCCTGAAAAATTTGCGATACATCGAAAGTGTACGAAACTCATTGTCAGTTGCTTTACACGAATTTTCCGTGATGTA